TATAAGCAACGTAGACAGCAGTATGGAAACTGCGATGGTTCCAACGAGTCGAGACACGGTTTGAAACAACAAAAGCAGAAGAACCACTGCAAAGTAAAGTATTAGCAACAGAACCAAAACAGCAACCACATTTTCAAGGTTAAAAGAAAATGATCCTATGGACTTGAGCAGGGGAAGCAACCACCGGAATATAAACGGTAGCCTTGGTCCTCTTTCATCAACGAGAGGATTTTCTACAAAATAACGGTTCATGAACTCCTCTGCATCATTCTGCTTCCAAAGTTCAGTTGGAGGATTGCCATTCCAAAAAGCATACTCCAACTCTTCCAACTTTTCCTCTTTCTCAGAAAATACAAACTGGAGCCAATCCTTGTTACCTTTGTTACTTGGGCCATCAGTAGACCGATAACAGCAGGATACTGTAGATTTTCTTTTAAGCTTGTCTTCAATACCTTTTTCTCTAAGCGAACCTAAACAAGGCAGATATACGAAAGTTGTTTGACTCATAAAGGGACCGTCAATCCCAACTTTGGGAAACTCATCGATAGTTTGATGTTGGAACACTTCGATGGTAGTTGCAGTATATGATTGATAGCCTAGTATTATTCACCACCTTGTTGCAGCCTAATGTGGAAAAATGAAAGGAGTTTTGCTTTTTCTTATTTCTTTCCACTTGAAGAGCAGTGTGACAACCAGAAGTTTTAACATACAGAAAAGCTGTTCTTGTTGGAGAAACGATTTTCGAACACTGGTAAAGGACTACAAAAGAACAACAAGACCCGGAATTGGAGCAAAAACAGTTTTTTCAAAGTTATCTTCTGAGAAAGACCATTCTATCGAAAAGGAGAATGGTAACGTTTCAAGTAACCGTTCGCAACGGACATTTGAAACGACTTCCACTTTCACGTTATCAAAAAGCCAAGTATTGGCCTTGCTTTTCTCATTCTCGACTATAAGCTTTTTATCGTACTTTCAAATGCACTCACAATCTTTGAGCTTTGACTCTTCAAATCCGTGGAAGACTGATAAAGAGAATAAAATAGCCAAAGTATATCCAAAGCAGTTGAATGAAGAACTTGTCGATGAAGCGGCCGTGAATGATTTTCAAGCTCAAAAGGAACGTTTGTTTCCAGAATACAAGGATGCGCATGTACGACGAGGTGAGGATTTGTACCGAAGATTTCGTAAGGAGCTGTTTCAGGAAGAAGATGTGAAGAATGACAAAAAAATTCGTTTTCAACTGGACGGAAAAGAACTAGTAAGAGCATTGGAATATTGGAAATTGGAAGCATATGAAAATTTCGTGCTTCTTATGAAGAGACTTGGTTTTGTTGGAGTTATTACTGTGTACTCTTTTTGGGGAATGATGGTGTCTGATCGTTCTTCAAGACGTGTTTCATTGCCATCCATTTATGATGCACAAGCAATTGCTGCCTATTTTCGACTTTATCCTGAGAAAGTGTTTTTCCGTCTGGTTTCCATTGCTTGTGAACTTGCGCAGTTCTCAACTGGCCTCTTAGTGGATTTGACTTCATATCGTCTGTTTGGTCCGAACGAGGAGAAGATGTCTTCTTTAGCTAAGGACGGTCACGACCTCTTGACAGTTCGAAAGAGTGAACCGTTGCAAAATGAACAAGTCACATATGAGACATATTCTGTGCCCTCTTTTTGGAAGGACAACTTTTTCCATATCTTTCATTTCTTCCGCAAGTCGCCTTGGCCTAGAAACGGATTTCCTATTCTTCAAAGGCAGCATTTTGGAGGAAAGAGTCCGATTGCTCTTTTCGAGGAGCAGATGAAAGAGCGAATGAAAAGAAAATACGAATTTTGGGAATGGAAATGGCAGCGAAGGGCTTCAAAATTGAGAGAAATGCTAACTCGACTGGGACCTGCGTTTATTAAATTCGGGCAAACTTTAGCATCCAGACCGGATATTGTTGGTCATTACGGAGTTGTAGAACTTCAGAAGCTCCAGGATAGTTTACCTTTTTTTTCGACAGAAAGAGCATTTGAGTTTATCACTGAAGAACTTGGAGCAACGCCTGACCAAATATTTGACTTTATCTCTAAAGAACCTGCAGCAGCAGCAAGTTTGGGTCAAGTTTACAAAGCTCGTCTAGATAACGTCGATGTAGCCGTAAAGGTTCAAAGACCAGATATTGCAGAGTCGATTGCACTGGACTCTTACATTTTACGGGGTTTGGCATTTACTCTTACTAAACTATTAAAAGTGAGTTGAAATATTTATTCTGTTATTTGACATTTTACATATGTACTAGTCTAAAACGGATTTCGTCATGGCGGTGGACGAATTCGGAACTCGACTCTATGAAGAAATTGATTATAAAGGAGAAAGTTCGAATATGATTCGTTTTCAGAAACTTTATGGCGATATTCCTGGAATTTATATCCCATCCGTATTTCAAGAATACTCTACCCGACGAATTCTTGTCATGGAATGGATAGATGGTCAAAAAATTGTAAATGAAGGGAATTTTATTCGGAAAGAAGATGCAGCACTGGTTGAAATTGGCATTCAGTTTTCTTTAAAACAGTTGTTAGAAACAGGGTTTCTTCATGCGGATCCTCATGGAGGCAATCTTGTTCGCATGAAGGACGGACGTTTAGCGTATTTAGATTTTGGATTGGTTTCACATGTTCCTGAGGCAATGATGTATTCTATGATATGTACATTCTTTCATTTGATGATTGGAGACTATCCATCTCTTGCTGAAGACTTTGCAAGCCTTGCTCTCATTCAGTCAAACGACTTGGACAACCATATTCCCGAATTAATTTTGGCTCTACAAGAAACCTTCTCGCAAGAACCATTTTCATTTCATGGTTTACCAGAAAAACTTGTTTTACTTGCAAGCCGGTTTCCTTTCGTGATTCCTCCATACTTTTTGAACAACTTGAGAGCTCTCTCTACTTTAGAGTCGCTAGCAAGAACTGCCGATACATCATTTGATGTGAAAGACGTGGTTTATCCTTATGTTGTTTCAAGAATGCTATATGACCCTGCACCTCAGCTTCAACATGCATTGGAAAACTATATTATTGATAGAGAAAGTGGCTCCCCTTGTTGGGACCGAATTGACAATATATTGCACGATGCTGTTGTTGCCTCAATACATTCCCAGTCACATATCGTTCGTTCATACCTTCGAACTTCCTCTCTATCGGGTTCTGGTTCCTATCTTGGAAATATGTTTTCGAGCAACGAAGAAGAGTTAACTGCATATCTCTTAATAAGTTTCCTAATATCACCTGGAGGTAGTTTCTTGCGAGAATTGTTAGTTATTCAATTTGCCCGTAATATTTGTCGATATTTGTTTTATGTTTTGGATAGATTAGAATTTGTATTATTGCCTGACAACTTGCGACCTCCTCCTGCAGCGTCTCTGTTATCGATTTCTACATCTTCATGCAATTCGATGGAAAAACGAAAGGATATAAAGGAGGCGACCCAGCGCAATAGACAAGTTGTAATGAAATTGTTCAAGAGATTGAATGGATATCATTGGAAGACGTCTTTGTTCATGGTGGTTATAATTCTAAGAAGCATATTGAGAATAACCTTTACTGTGGTGTCTTTTTGTCTTTGGCGAGTATTCCGTGACGTGAGAATAGTAGTGAAAAGGATTTTTGGGGGGAATCTGAAGTCGTCTTGGGGAGAATAGCAATTGGAAATAAATTGTAGTTTCAATCCGTTGCTGTCCGACTGAAATTGTTACACAATTGAGATACACAAAATATTCTTGCAAGAGCCGTTGGAGAATTGTACGTCGAATGCGGCTTCACAAAATTGCGACGCTGGCAACAGGTAGGAAGGATCCAATATGGTCTATTTCTTGGTGTCCTACTGCTTCCATACTCGCTTCGGCGGGAAGTGACTGTTTGGTAAGACTTTGGGCATCTCAAACTGGAGACAATAAACAAACCGAAGTGATCCAAAAAGACTCCGAACAGCCTCAAGAGTGGTGCTGCCTTGCAACTTTTGGAGCTAATCTTTTTCCAAGAACTTTAAGATGCGTTGCTTTTAATCCAAGGTTGCCTTTCTTGGCCTGTGGTAGTTTTGACTCATATGTTTATACCATGAGATTAAGCAGCAACTGTGAAGAAGGCTCCGAATTGAATTTACAGGAGATCTTAACTGCTCCTCCCAAACTTCAATTAACTTCAACTTTAGAAGGTCATGAAAGTGAGATCAAGTGTGTTGCTTTTTCCTCTTCAGGTGCGCTTTTAGCGAGTTGTAGTAGAGACAGAACGATATGGTTGTGGGAATTGGGAATCGACAAGGATGATTTCGAGTCACTGAGTATACTGGAAGGACATACACAAGATGTAAAGTATGTGATTTGGCATCCTTGTAAGGAGCTGTTATGTTCTTGTAGTTATGACAACACTGTAAGAATGTGGGTCGAAGATGAGTACGATTGGTATTGTTGCTCTGTATTAAGTGGACACTCGTCAACTGTATGGGCAGCTTCATTTGATAAATTTGGAGAGAGACTTGTCACTGTTTCAGACGATCGAAGTGTTATATTTTGGAGACAAATTCCTAGACGTACAGATGAAGTTGGACGGGATCCTTCCTGGGAAACTTTTTGTGTATTAAGAGACCAGCATGAGCGAGCTATCTACACAGTTGATTGGTCCCATCAAAGTGGCCTTGTAGTAACTGGAGGTGGCGATGACGCATTACACATTTATCAAGAGAATGCTTTGAGAAGGAATGAATCTTCAGACGTCACAGAAGAACAATTTGCTCCTCATCGGGATTTAGCTGACGATAGTGGAGAAGTTTCTCATCATGCCGAACCTTTTTCTATTGCGGCTGTCCTGCTGAACGCCCATGAAGGGGATATCAATTGTGTGAAATGGAATCCACTGGTTTGTTAGTTCTTACATGATATTCTGTTGTTCTTAATTCTATTAGGATGGTTACGTGTTTGCTTCTTGTGGCGACGATGGTTTTATTTATATCTGGCAAGTGAGAAGGGATACACCCTGACTTGTAGATGAAATGCCTCAATTGAATAACAGTTTGCTCCAAACATCATTTGTTGCTTTTTTGTGTATCTACATTCGTATTATTTCCATACCAACCAACGTAATGCCAGAGTTGACTTTGATAATCATAAATAAAGTAATGACCGTTTCTGTCGTAGTACCCCCCATTGCTGTCATAATATCCTCCGTACTCATCGGACTGACCTAAGATTTGAATACCATTCAATGCAACTTTCTGTTGTGGAAGCGTAAAGCACTTCCCTCCAACGTTTGACGACAAAGTTCCAAGTTGGTTGGACGAACATGTTGGGGCCTCCGCAGTATTAGGCGTACCAGAGCCAGTCTTACCACCTCCATACATACTTAGCCTTGCTGCCGCATCTATCCTCCTAAGTTCCTTCTCTATCTGCTTGGATTCCTTCTTTTTCGTTTCGTTCTCACGGTGCGACCTCTTCAAATAGTTTTCTACATTGTGCTTGTGGCGTAAACCCTAGACCAGTTGAAGTCAAACAACTGTATACACATGTTTCCGTACTTACATTTTCGTGCTGCTGCATCTGAATTTTATTATTAGCTATCCAAGTGTTACAATATTTGCAATAGTGACGTTGTTGCGATATCCAGTAGTCCGCCATATTAGCGAATAAATATTAAAGACGATTGATTCAAACGAATAACATAATTTTAGCTTCCATCTTTTATTCATGATGAGGAAAGACTTCAGAACTCCTTATACTATGTCACTCTGAATAGTTTTTTAATTGGACTTGTCTAACATTATGCAAATAAGTTTATATTCCTGTTCTTCTGAGAATTCTCTAATAATTGGATAAAGTGAATGATCGGTAGAACCTCAAAGTCTGAATGAAAAAACTGAGGATCGGTTGGTATTTGAGATTTTCATTTGTCTTTCTTTGTCCGGGTTTTAAGCTTTGTTAACATTGTTATTCATAATAGCAAATTCTAATTTTTACAGTTGTTACGAATTCGAAAGGAAAGATGAATAACTACGTATCTTGAGCACAAAAATAGCCTGCACGATGATTCTACCGCTAAAATTGGCATTCATTTGCACAATAATAAAGTGACCAACACAAAGCAGACTCAAAGCCGGTTTTGCTCTGAATTATCAATGAGGAAAATTTCATTGGCTAAGTCAATGAACTTAACAATTGTTCATGAACTATATCAATGCTTGCTTATTTTTGTGAAATACTTCTATTGCATATTTTTTGCAACTTGAATATGAATTCTCCAAATGAGAAATCTTCAGCGAACATGAGATTGTGCCAAAAGGAACTCCAAAGAGAGCTGTCCATTTCGATAGTTGCGCCGATTTCTCAGGTTTTCTTCACTCGTCATGTCAGCGTTTATCACCAGTAGTCCTTATGTAAACCAGTTGCGTTTTAAACCAAAGTCTTTTGGCGAGACTCTTAATAGTTCAAAGTTTGTTTTTCGTTCGCCCCTGACGAAGCTTCCCTTGGCTACCTTTCGTGGGAAGGTAAGTGTTGACAAATTTTGTGTGACAATGTTGAAATTTCTCTAGAACTCTGAACAGTCTGGGAGATGCGTATCTATGACAACAACAGTCCCTAAAAGAGAGGGAGTTACGAAAGAGAACTTGGATTTTGATACCAAAAGTTTTCAGAAGGAAAAAGTTTGGCTTGTTGATGGTTACGAATACATCGTCAAGGGCGGACGAGATGTTTTTAAAGCTCTTCCAAAGGCGTTTCAAAAAGTAAAGCAAGTCGGAGTTATTGGCTGGGGTTCTCAAGGTCCTGCACAGGCACAGAATTTAAGGGACACTTTTGAGTCTTGTGGATTACCTATTACAGTCAAGGTTGGTCTTCGTTCCGGTTCTAGATCGATGCAAGAAGCAAGGAAGGCAGGATTCTCTGAAGAAAAAGGTACTCTTGGGGATATGTTAGACGTTATTGCAGAAAGTGATCTTGTTTTGCTTCTTATTTCGGATGCCGCCACTGTGGAGAACTATGAAGCTATCATGAAAGCAATGAAACCAGGTGCGACGCTAGGTCTTTCTCATGGATTCTTACTGGGATATTTGGACAGTATTGGAAAAAAGTTCGGTTTCGATCTTAATGTTATAGTTTGTCTCTCTCTAATGCGTTTTGGTTGTTGGTTTCGTATGCTTTCACTTTCATGGCTATATCCGTTTTTTTGTGCATTTAGTCAACTCCATGTTCTTTCTGTCTATAGAAGATGTGGAGGTTCTATGTTACAGCTTGTTGCAGTATGGTCTGGGCGTATTGGTATAGGCTCTTCTTTTACTTTTCAGAGCCTGCCTGATTAGATGAATGTCTTTCAGGTATATTCTGGGTATGTGTGGCATTTTAGTGGTTGCTGTATCCTGTAGATTGTTGATTTCTTGTTTAGTCGTTATTGTTGGTTTAGTGTTTCAGTGACAATTTTGTTTTTAAGTTCTTGTAGGAAGCATTACTGGACCACTGACGTATTTAGTATATCAAAGAAAGGCATCCGTGCTGTGTATGATGAACTGAATGAGGAGGGAAAGGAAATATTTGCGAAAGCTTACTGTGCTTCTTATCTACCTGCATATGATATTCTAATTGAATGTTATGAAGATGTAGAAAGTGGCAATGAGATCAAGTCAGTGTTGCAAGCCTGCAAACGCCATCATAAAATACCTATGGGCAAGATTGATACAACTCGCATGTGGCAAGTTGGCAAAGAAGTCAGAGAAACCAGAGATGAGTCCAAGATTCCTATTGTTCCCTTTTCTGCAGGTGTTTATATCGCAGCTATGATGGCTCAGATTGATATTCTTTTGGAGAAAGGACATCCTATCTCAGAAATTGTGAACGAGTCGGTCATAGAATCTGTCGATTCACTTAATCCGTACATGCATGCCAGAGGTGTTTCTTATATGGTAGATAATTGCTCTACTACTGCGAGACTAGGTGCTAGGAAATGGGCTCCGCGTTTTGATTATAATATTACCCAACAGGCATTTCCTGCCATTGATAACAAGGAACCTTTGGATATGAGCAAACTGGATGCATTCTTGAGTCATCCTATTCATTCGGCAGTATTGGAATGTGCTAAATTACGTCCGAGCGTGGATATTTCACTTTCTGGGACTACCTCTGAAGACTTTGCACGTTATTGGCTGTAATTCGGGTATTTCAGCCCCAAAGTGAAATAATGAGTTGTCTTTTACAATAAAGCTTCTTTCGTTGTTTCAAATTGCAAACAGAACAGACAATAACATTTATAACAACAGAGACCCAAGTCAATGCACAACTACTTGAAATGTACTTATCACGACAAGAGAAAAGTTCTCTAGAATTCTTATGCCGTGAAACCCCCTTAAGTGTTGTTTTCCGATAGACTTTCTTCTTCCACAATGAATTCACTGTCATTATACTTCTCATTCAAAGGCTTCATGGATAGATTGAGATAATTTCTAGCCAAGTTAATGCGAGTGATTCTAACTTGAACTTCGTCTCCAATCTAAACCAAAAAAAAGTTTGCCATAAGGTCAGTTTCTCAAGCAATTTTATTACCTGCAAATCTCTGCTCATTTCAGACTTGAACAGTAATCCATCCTTTGGACCTCCAAAGTCCACAAACGCACCAAGATTAGTTATACTAACCACCCTACCATTCAAGAACTCTTTCGGATTTGCAGTCTTTGAAAACTCCTTCAACTCCTTGCGCAACTCCTCATCCTCCTCATAAGTTAGATGACGGATGTAACTTAAAAACAATACTATCGTACTCTTTGAGAATAGTTTCGGCTAAAGTCTCTCCTTCGGCTTCCATCACGACCAGAGCGACTATTTTCCCTTTTACGAGGAGATTTCATAGACAGCGCGAACTGTCTTTTTTCAGGATCCAATTTGATAACTCGAACTTGTACTGCTTGTCCCACACTGAGCATTTCTGCTGGGTCCGTTAAAAAATTCTCGGATATCTGTGAAACGTGTAAGAGTCCTAAATAAAAAACATAAGCCCAAATTCAGCAATGTCCAACAAGTATCAAGTCATACCGGAAAGGTTCGATCCAATATTCACAAAAGCTCCATATGGCATCAATTTCTCCACCGTTCCTTCATATACTTGACCTATCTTTAGAGCTTCAAAAGAGTGCTTATCCGAAGATTCTTCTTTCCCCGAAACACTACTTTCCAGGTCATTGAAGGTGGCCTTGGTCGCTTTGAAGTGTTTGGGGCCCGATACATGGTTATGCTTCAAGCCAATTCCAAAGAATACACCATCACTTAACTTTCTCGTCATAATTCGGGTGTTCTCTCCCCATAATACCTATCAACAGGACGGGTGAACGAAGTACAAAGTGCCCACGAGTGTGGTGAAGTAGCAAGGGAAAAGAAGACACAGTAAATAGAACAAGATAACATACAGTAGTTCGAAATATTCGTAAAAACTGGTTTTTTACCGGCACTCCTGCTTTATTCAAGTGTTGAAAACCGGACTCGGCGAATAAGAAACCAACGCACGGAGTCCACATGAGTTCCCACCAATTCCAACGATACCTGAAGTGGTGTGAATAGCTTTACTTGCGGTTGAGGCACTGCTCTTTAAAGCTTATTTATCTAATAAATTAGTTTGAGCTTTCAAGAAACTTTTGAACTCTCTCCACAGTTTCTTCCAAGTCTTGTTCCTTATTGCTGGGAACTACCCATATCTGCTTTTCGTTAAAGCAACAATACGCCTCGTCTAGAATAACTTGCATTATCTCACACTCCATGTTTTCCTCTAACTTCCTTCCTGAGTATCCACGAGCTTTCAAGCGATCATAAAGTGGAGCTGCTCAACAAGTAGAAGGTACGAGGTAAGTCCAAAATTACTCAACTCTATACTTTGGTTTACCTTACCAGTTTCTGTCTGCAAAACTATCACGAGATCTATTTTACAAGAGGCAAACCACTCGCAGCCATGGTACTCCAAGAGGTAACCACCGGGCTTTAAGAAGTCTATTAGGATAGGAATTAGCTTGCGACAACTTGAGGTGATGATTATACAAAATAAGAAGTAAACCCACTTTCTCTTCTTCTATTTCAAAACATTCCAACTGTTCATCATAACTACCCAAGCAACTGTGCTCCTCAGCAAACTTTCCCACTTCTACATGTTCCAAGGATGTTACTTCAGTCAGTCTCTTTGCTAGCGATGTCTTTCCTTTTCTTACATTTAGGGCTGTAGTGTCTAATTTTCGAACTCTTACCTGTTCCAGGCGTTCCAACTAGAAGAATATTTTTTCTATACTTCGGTAAAGAGAGTTGACTAGAGTCCAGCGTATTATTCAGTTCCGTCATGATGATAACACAATTTTGTGGAGCCTAAAGAGGAATGGAGTAGTTGATACATTCAATTAGCTTAAGCCTTTCAAAAGCGAGAAATTTTATTTAATGTTATTTCATTTTTTCAATAAAAATGCCGTTTCTTTCTGAACTACGCTTTCTCCATTCAGGGCTTTATGCCATTACTAGTAGCACAGTTCAATGATCGTTTAACGCTTGTTTCATTATAATTGATGATTTTGTGGATTGCGAACTAGTTAAGGTTTCTAGGAGTTTTCATTTGAAGCATGTCTGCTTTGTTTAATTTTCAAAGTCTTTTGGTTGTCATTGTTTTAGTAATCTGTACTTGTGCATACATCCGTAGTTTATATCCTTCTCTTCTTGACAGAAACAAAGAAGGGTAAGCTTTGTGTTTTTTATGTTTCCTTTTTCACTTAACTTGTTAGATTCCTTGGTTTGTTTTGGAAAGCATCTCGTATAGGCAAGCCAAGAATATTGTTGACGTTGACTTTATACTTATCTTGTTTTAGGAGAAAGACTTAGTCCTTATGTTTCCACTTGCTGCTTTTTGATGGCTTTGAGTTTGTTATTTGCAAGTTGACATCGCACATAGTTGGTCGAAAGTTGAAAGCTTTCTCTGCACAGAACCCGTATACTAAAAGTGGTTCAACAAGGAGGAGCCTGTCTGTTCTTGTTGCTAACTGTCGGGTTAGAAGGACGAAGCAGCTACTTGTAATTTCCAACATAGGATTTCTAGCAATAAAGAAAGTAATTTTATTATCACCTGCTCGCATAAAACTTATGGTCACTCTGTTATCATTCTTTGGGATATTTGCTTGGACTACGATGAAATGCATGAAGTTGCTGTTGAATGAGACGCAATATTCTGTCCAACTTTGATATAAAAAAGAAAGATGCAATATTCTGTCGAAGACCTTGAACGAAACCTGAAAAACACTTCTAAAACTTGCGGAGAATTAGAAGAAAGACTCGTGAACTTTTGTAAGAATCAAAGTGGTATTCGAACGGTGGGTTTCCACTTTATTTCCTGTAGGTTTCTCCCTAAGAATCGAGTATTGTAGTTAAAACGGGAAGCTGGCCACATATTTCCACAGATAGAGTCTTTGTTGCAACAAAGTCAGTTCTTGGACGAGAGAATATCACAAGTAGAGCACCAAGTGGAGCAAGTAAAAAGTAGTGTTGCGAAACATAAAGTACAGAAGGAAGACCTTTTACAGCTATACTCTTTACTTGAAAAGTTAGATGTAGTCAGTCAAGGAGTTGGCGTTTCTGAGGAATTAAGCAACAGACAAAAAGTCCCTGGCAGTATGGATCTTGAAACACTATCCAGCTACGAACGTCAAATACAACAAGGGTTGCGTAGTCTTCATTTTATATACAGTTTTGGTATATCAAACAGCTGTTTAGCAGCTTCTCAGACTCTGATGGAGAAAGAACACGTACGATTGCGAAGTGAAATGGTTGGGAGGTTAACGTCCTGTTTTCATTGGTATGATTGGGGTCTCTCAATCGATAAGGAGGCAAAGTGGATATCAACGATAATTGCTCAAGGAAAATATATGGATATGGCAGTTCAGGAAATCGTCTCTTTGCTGAAACGTCTTGGAGTCGCAGGTTATCTTCAACGGGCTTCTAAGGTTGAAATAAGAGAAAGAGAGTTTTTATTTCATATGCAAGACAAGAACGAAGATGTATCGCAAGTGCTGGAATGGGAAGATTGTTCCGTGCAAGAGTTGGACATCTTAGAAAATTGTTTAGACTTGGCAAACGGTTGCAAAAGAGCGCTTGTCATTTTTGACTTCATTTTAAGTCAAACATTCGATATTGACTACTACAGAGAAGTTGCTGTTGGGTTTTATGACTGGTTTCAGCGTGAAGTTTGTAGTTCCAAATGTATTTTAGGTCACTTTAAATACTTGAACGACTTGGATGGATTTAGTGATCCTTCTCAGTTTTCCCTTCGCCTCCGAGGACTAACCATTTGTGCCCAGAAACTTCGAATAGCTCTTCAAGCAAGAGGCATGGATATAAGTTTGGCAGAATCACTCGTTCCCGATATCTATCGAGCTGAAGAAGACTTGGCAGTTCTTTGTCATCGACATGTACTTGTCTATAGCAGAAATATTTTAAAGTCTATTGCATTCTGCCACGATGAATTGGTGGATGTCTCTTCTTTTTTGGCTGCATCCGAACATCGTTATTTGAGAGGGAAACTTGTTGATGCTGGAGAGCTTTGTCCATTTCCTTATCCCATTTGTAAGGTGACGAAGCAAGGGATAGAGTTGAGTCAAGCTGCAGACAGAATATTTCAGGATGCATATGTTTGCCTACAAAATAATTTGTCGGTAAGTTCGCTGTAGTTGTATGAAGTCTTTCATGTTTCTATGTATAGTTGTTGGGCTCTACTTTGATGAAAAGCATTTCGGAAATGTTGCTTTCGTATTATCGCATTGTTTCCGCCAATTGCTACAACATATTAAAATCTCAGTTGTTGGCACAGGCTATATATCATAACGACTGTTTCTTATTGGCGCATATTTGTTGTATTATTGAAATGAGAAAAACTCTGTTGATATCTCATCTCGATGAAGAGGCAGCAAGTCACCTTAAGGGACAAGACTATATGATTGCGTGCTTTCGGTTGAGATGTGAGGGTTCTACTTTTCTCGCGAAGAGTATATCTGCTACAAAGGATGCCATATATGCCTGTGTATCCAAAGCATCTGAAGGAGTATCATTTGAAGTGTGTTATCAAACTTCGATATTCAACCGTATTCAACGTTCTCTAGATGCTGCTTCTTTAAGCTTTGAAACTTTACTTTTTTCTTGGAAGGACTATTTGCCAAAGTCTGTTTTACGAAATATTGGATTGGGTTTGCTTGAAAACTATTGTCAGTGGTTGATTCAGGCAGTATTTGCGTTAGAAGATATCCCTCTTAGAACTAGTTCTTGTCTAGCGTCGTTGTTGCAAGAAGAAACAGAGAAGAAAACAAAGTTAGTCGCACAAGTATTGGATTGGGAACAGGCAGTCTTATCTGAGCGGTGCCGTGGTGTTTCATCACTTTGGTGGATATGCAAGATATTGAACTCGAACCTGGAAGAAATAGTCAAAATGGTACAGCATGGTCCGTTAAAGAGAAGAATAGCAAAGGATCAGTTAATCAAGTTAGTTACGGCTTTGTTTGAGAAAACAGCATATAGGAAGAAATGTTTACAACAAATTGCCATTGCATATTCCGTATCAGCGAAGAAAGAAAGCCACGTTTAAAGACTTACAATGCACGATAAGAACCCATTGGAAAACTTTTCTTACTTCTATGGCTTTTTATTTCATAGTTTGGTTATTATATGTGACTGTTGGCTACTTTCTTCGCGGTATGCACTGTTTGATATGATTGGAAAGCTGTTGTTTTCCCACAAAAACGTAAAGTACGTAACCTTGTTAAAGACACGAGACAAGCAGTTTACCAAAAGAGTATTTGATTACGTGCATAAACACTTTTGGTTGAGAGTTTTTTTTAACTTTATGTTCTTTTTCTTGTGACGGCTCAGTTTGGTTTACCGTTCCTTTTGTACCAGTTGTGTGCTACTTGTACAAGTCTTCTCAAGAGCCGGGAACTTTCTCTGGTTGGAATTCTATACTTTTCTCTGCAGATTTTTCTTTGTTTTGCTTTATATTGTTGTGCTATTGTACACTGAGTGCTGCAATAGAGTTATCTTTAAAGGTAGTCGTTCGAAGGAAGCGGCCAAGTTTTAATAACAAGTCGTCGTTTGTTATTCCAGCTGAAAAGTGGTCTTTTCCTTCTGGTCATACTATGAGAGCCTTTACTATCTGCTCTTATCTTTCTTTTCGCATTCCTTTGCTGAAATCTTGGTTGCCGTTTCTTCGAAGTGAGCTTGTCAGTATTTTATTCGTTTGCTGTCTCTTTTTTGTGAGCCAAGTAGTTCTCATACGTTTTGAAGTTTTTACTAACCACATTCCACATAGTGGGCTTGCTTGGTTGCGATTTCTCGAATAGGAAGAGGACGACATTTTGCTTTAGACTGTTATGCGGCAAGTGTTTGCGGAAGAGTAACTTCCCTTGTATTATTGACTTGTACTGTTGACCGATTTCTATCCACAAGTTTCTTCATCTTCATTAGTAAATTAAGGATAATAAGCTATTTTCTATGAAAGTCACGAGAGGCGACATATTACGCTTCATTTCTGTCATATCGAAGATGAGTTGACGTCATTTTCGTTTATTATCTAGGAGATATACTAGAAACTACTGGTTGCATTGGAGAATTTTCTGAATGATGAAAAGCTCGAGTATTTCTCGAGAATCCATTCGGTGAAGGAGTTTGAGGGTCGTGTGCAATACTAGTTATTCTCGATTGTCGATCGCGTCCCATTTTTTCATTCAGTCGGTTGGTTCTCAGAAAAAGCCAATAAGACAAAAAGGTTCCCAAAAAGGACGCCATGAACGAAATGAGGATAGTGGTAACAGATACTGAATACGATCTTTCCCAAGTCGCAGGTTGAAAAGATGGACTTTGTGAGGTTTCATTGAACTCCTGCTTTCTGTTTTCAACTACAAAGCTTTTTTGTGACAGCTTTTGTACACAAGAAGAGAGTTGTCGTTCTAAGTCTTTTAAAGCCTTTTGCGATAGTTCCGATGAATTTACTGTTTCAGTATCTCCCAACTGCAGTAAATGAAATAGCGCTTGACGATATTGTGAACTCTCTTGCTGTATCATTTCTTCAAGATGTTGAAATATTGTTACAAGTTCCTCACTCTGGGAGTCTGCTTGAGCAATACTGCTTACTAAATGTTGAAGCACTTCATTTCGCTTGTTGAGTTGCGCATTCGTATGAAAAAGGACATTCTCGATAGAACTGAATGTATCAGTTGCGTTGACTATGGCCAAGTTCCACTGCAGTTTTCTTTCTGTTTCATTTCTAAGTCTCTTTTCTTTGCTTAGCAACTCCTTCAAAGAATTTATTTCTGCGAGAGCTTTCTCTCTCTCTCCAGTAACGGACTGTACAACTATTTGTAACTTGTCTTGTTTCGAAAGACAATTTTGAAAACTTTGATTCAGAGTATTCAATTGTTCTTCCAGTTCGACTATTTTCGAGCGATAACGTTCTACTGCAGAGCCGCATCTCTTTTTAGAAAGCTCTTCGATGTAACGAACGGCGTCTTCCAAATTGCGATGTATATCTGCCCTAGCATTGGTTGCCTCCGTACTGAAGTGCTGTAATAAACTCTGAATAGTAACCTCTGTAGACTGAATTTTTCTCCTCAACTCTTCGGGGTCTTCATCAAGTTCCGTTATGTCCCCCACGTTTCCTAAGAGGGTCTCTATGTCGTCGGATGAATCTGTTGCTGCGACTTTCACAACCACAACAATACAAACTATCCATAAGAAGCTTTTTCTATATATCTTATTACTCAGTTTGAAGAAACTCATTTGTTACTTTACAGCAAAAATTCCTTTTTCGTGTAGTTCAATAGCAACAAGTCTGTACCAAAAAATTTCGAAAAGCGCAATCAATTCTATCGCAGTCCAGGAAGAGATTACTAAATTTTCTATATTTCTGATGCGAATTGACTTTTGAGCATTGATAGATGTTGCAACATTTCTGGAACAATAGTCTTCCATATATTTGTTTGCAATACTCATTATTTCGTAAAGGCAGAGCAGTAAGAAGCATCCTCCTTAGTAACAGCTTCTTTGAGTAGCTAACAATATTCACCAAAGAATTTTCCAGAAACTTGGCTGTTTGTGTACCAGTGATGATTCGTCTTCGTAAAAATACGTTGGAAAGTGGAGAATCAGAGGAAGACGTATTCAATGCACCTGTTACAATTTGTGAGTTGAAGATTGGTTTGTTGTCTTCTGCAAGATACCTACAGGAAGAGTTGGAAAATCTAGCAGAAAGTGCAGATACCAGTTCCAAGGATGGATTGTTTTACGTATTAAATGAAACAATATTGGCGTTGCTTAGACATCCAGAGTATTGGTGTTATGCTGCCATCAATACGAAAGTAACCAAATGGACCCATGCAACAGCAGAGTTTAATCGAAAGAGTGTCGAATCGCGCTCCCATACCAAATCAGAGACCCTGAGCAACTATAACAATCGAAGAATGAGAAGAGAAAAGTTTTCTGGTGACGATTCTTCCAGTCTTCCCGGAGAATACATTCTAATACATGTTATCGTAGCAACTGAAGGGAAACTCTCACAATTACCGTCAGAGTTAAACTCTGAATCTGATGTTAAGGAAGCATTAAAGGTTCTTTCAAGTACTTGGAGTGACAAGCTTCAGGGTCTTGAAGTCATTTGGGTGCCACAGTCTGTCGATGATGTCTTGACTGGAAACGAAATGCTTTTACAGCATCCCGAATTGCGTCGTATTTCATGACATGGATTGATTCTAAATAGCTATTTTGTGTTGGGAACATAGAAAGTGATCAACTTTATAGATATGATATGTGGTTTAAGGGTTATTGGGCATATAGGTAGCATTGTAAAGAGGGAACTTTCAGCAGGAAGTCTTCAACTAGTTCGTTCTTTTAAAGCGCCGTTCCTATTACAACGCAATCGAACAGTCTGCACACAGCAGGTTGGCCATCCCGTACAAAGTCATGCTACTTGCAATTTGTCTTTACGTCCAGACAATAATGGTTTGGGGCCAAAAAGATTTTATGAACAAGTATACACCGTGGAGAGAATACCTGGTGTGTATTGTGTGTCTCTAGATGGAAAGCTGCTTCGAACAAGAACGGGAAAGTTTCTGGAAAGCCGTTGTCGAGAGCTTTCATTGGTGGTAGCAAGTGAATGGGAAGCTCAACACTCGCGAATTCTTCCAAGTTCTATGCCTGTTACTTCTTTGTTAACTACCAGCATTGACCTAACCAAGGAGCACAGACAACAATTTCTTAAGACTCTATCGGAATTTTTTAATACGGACACAATTTGTATTCGTGCTTCATATCCAGAAGGCCTTGTTTTTCGTCAAAAAGTCCTGTGGGATCCTCTAATTGTATTTTTAAGTGGTATTGTGATCTTGTTTTCTTTTGTTGTATTTAACTAAATACTGTATTTTAGAGAATTGGAATATCCAGATACGAACAAGTGAAGATCTCTTCGGTGTTTCTCAAGAGAGAGAAAGTCTGGAAAAAATTCGTCAATATTTGGAGAATCAGTCTTCCCTATTCATAACTGCGCTACACTCTGCTACTAGCACAACTAAATCACTCATTATTGGTTTAGCCTTGTCTGAAAAGGCTATTAGTACAAGACAAGCCATGGAAGCTTGTCGTTGTGAAGAAGACTTTCAAATTCAATACTGGGGTGACGTGGAAGGTTGTCATGATATTGACCGTGCAGATACTTTCGTCCGTTTGGCCTCTGCTTCTCTTGTATTTTCGTTGTTGCGAACCTTTCCCGAGTGTTTCCATTCTCAGAATTGAGTTTCATCATTTTTGATGTGCAACAGTTTTGATGAGGAAATGATGATGGACTATGCTCAGAAGGAAAAGCAAAGAATAATTCAAGAAAAGGTACTCAGATTTTCCTCTCGGGAAAATAAAAGCCAATAGATTGATTGCCTTAGAATTGGGTTAGTTTTCCGATTTGTGCAGATTGCGACGGTTCAAGACTGATATACAAAAATGGAACACTGGAGTCAATACAAAGATGAACTGATAGCCACTGCAAAGGCACTAGTGACTCCTGGAAAAGGGTAAATGGTTATTTATGTATATATGTTCTTTGTGTTTCTGATTCCGTTGTCCGTTTGCAGAATCCTAGCTGGAGATGAGTCTACTGGCACCATAGGAAAGCGTTTTGCTTCCATTCAAGTAGAAAATAATGAAGAGAACCGAAGAAGTTATCGGGAGCTGTTGTTTACTGCTCCTAACTTTGGTCATTATATTTCTGGTGTGATTACTTTTGAGGAAACTCTATATCACAAGGTATTTTGGTATCCTTTTTTGTTGGTCTTAATACAAGAGCAAGAATAACTTTGTTGTAATAGACTAGCCAAGGGAAGCCTTTTGTGGATGTGATGAAGGAGGCGGGTGTGATTCCT